TACATTGCATTCTTTAAAACAAATTTCAAATAGAAGTAGAAAAAATGACTAAAACTCACCTACTTTATCCTTTGTTAAGTATACCTCTAATGTCCTTTCAAGTGTTGTTATTCTTCCAGTTGTTTTTTTCTTTTTAGCTAAAGCTTACTGCTTGCTCAATTAACTTTACATTTAAATATAGTAGGGCCAGTAAATATGTTCTTCCAGGCACTAGCTGGTAAACACTTTGGAGGAAGATGCTTGGAAATGTGATCAGATTCTTAACAGAATTCTCCCCCAAAAGCAATTTTGTGTTAATAACAACCTACGTAGTATAAAAGTTTTCTAGATGATGGATAGAAAATCCAAAGGAAATTTTACGTAGACTCTGACTTTAGTTTCAGTCTCTATAGTGAATTATCATCACCTTCCTCATACCCTTGCTTTCATTTAATTTTAAAAGCACCATTGCTTGTGCAACTTGGGAAACAAAGTTGTTTTCCACAGAAAAATGAGAGGGAAAGAAGTATTTCTCCCTGTATATCCTCATGGTCCTGAGTGGTTGTGGCAGAGCAATTACACAGAGATGGATCCTATTAGCAAATTCAGGTTTCTTCCATGTGTATATTTGTTTGTTTTTCACAGGGTGCTTTGCCCATCCACATTCCAATCCCTATAATAATACTTCTGTTTATTGTTGTTATCACCATCAACAGCAACTATCATCTGGCTCACAATTCCCAGGAGCTAGCTCACTCCTTAGTTACCGGGAGAAAACCCAAACCAGTTGTTCTTTTATGTGTATAAAACTTCAGTCTTCTCACATTGCAGTGACCCTGACAGCATTTTGAAACTCCATAAGCAGAACAGATAATATGTCTGAGTTCTGATGTAGTAAAAAGAATTCTTTTTCTCCCTGGTGGCTGAGAGGCTGATTATCAGGTATGTGTGTATATAACGCTAGTTCCTACATATTTCCAAGTGCTTTCTCATTTCTTGGGTAGTTTCTTTCGAGTCTGTGCTGGAAACATAGGTTGTCTAACCTATCATCTGGCAAGAAAAGGTCATGGGGGTGTTGGGTAACTTGCTAATGATCATTATAACCAAACAGAATCTACACTGGAAACCATTTCCTGCCTTATAACTGGTGGGGAACATTTGGAGGGGTAATTATTTCCCAAAGATCCTTGAATGTCTTTTCAACATATTTTTTAGAATAAAAGGGGAAAAGTTACAAAATCACACAGAATGGAAGGAAATGTGTGAAACATAAAAATTGCAATTACAGGGTATTTTTAAGGAAATTCAGTGCTATTTATGAGGTAGGTAGATGCACAGCTTTAAAGTCAACTTGGGTTAAAACCCTGGCTTTGCTACGCAGCCCTGTGACTTTAATTTTATATTAAGAGAAAATAAGCAGCCTAAAGTATACATAATGCCTACTTCATACGCTAAGCAACCTGTAAACTCAGTAAAGTCTCAATAAAAGTACCCTTAAAGCACTTAGCACAGCCTAGAACATAGAACACCAGGCATGCTCTCGCCTCAGGCCCTTTGCAGTTGCTGTTCTTCACCTCGAAGATCTCTTGCAAGCCCTTTGTATGGCATGCTCCTTTAGGTCTTTACTGAAATGTTACTGTCAGGGAGGGAGGGAGAGAGCGTGGGCCCCCCTGACAGGAGTGTCCAACCTGTGGCCTGTGGGCCTCAGGCAGTTTTTTTTTTTTTTTTTCTTTGAGACAGAGGCTCAAGCTATTGCCCTGGGTAGAGCTGTGGCGTCACAGCTCACAGCAACCTCCAACTCCTGGGCTTAAGCGATTCTCTTGCCTCCCAAGTAGCTGGAACTGTAGGCACCCGCCACAATGCCTGGCCATTTTTTGGTTGTAGTTGTCATTGTTTGGCATGCAGGGGCTAGATTCGAACCTGCCAGCTCTGGTGTATGTGGCTGGTACCTTAGCCGCTTGAGCTACAGGCACAGAGCCATCAGGCGGATTTTTTGAGGACTGTTTTGCTTTTCTGTGGTGTTGCATATCGTGGAAAGTATTCGTGGACCTTTTCTTTTGCTTGTCAGCTTTCATTAGTGTTTGTGTATTTAGTATGTGGCCCAGGACAGCTTTTATTCTTCTAATGTGCAGAAAAGAAAAAAGGTTGGATACCCCTTAATGTTGTCTCCTTAGTACTCATTAGCATATAACATTTTAAATTTTGGTAGTGCTATATTAGCATCTAATATACTATGCATTTACTTACTAATTTCTCCTTCCCTACTAATGTCAAAAGCTTTGAGACATTTTTGTTTTATTCTCTGGTTTATCTCTATTATCTAGGAACAGTCCTTGATAGTGAATAGGCAATCAATAATACTTATTCAATTCAATAAGGCAGATATAATTAATGTTTACCAAGTATCTCTATTCATTTAATATTTTTGTAATTATCAGCATCATTTGCTGATTAATATGGGAAATGCTAAGGAATTTTATAATGTTAAAATTACTGAGCTCAGATGACAGTATTGCTTACCAAAAACCCCTTTTCTATAGTTAAAAACTAAGTTAAATTGTAGCTAACTATACCCTAAACATCCCAAACTCAAATTTAATGAGCTTGAATATGATGGAAATTTATTTATACCCATATGTTACTTTATACAAGAGATGTTTTGCTAGGTGGTTTTGAATCAAATTTGAGGAAGTAATAGGTTAACACTTAACTGATTACTATAAACTATAAAAGCCAATATAGCATAATTGCCTGGTTTCTGGAGGCTAGGCCTTAACTATGTTCAAATCCCAATTCTCCTCTTTCCTGATCAAGTGACCTTGGACTAGTTACCTAACCTCTTTGAGCCTAAGCTTACTCAAAAGGAATGATGTTAATTCATATAAAGATTTCAGGAAAAAAGGACTTCTTTCATAGAACTCAGTAAAATGAGTAAGAAGCAGGTGCTTTCTAAGCATTTTTCATGAATTAACTTGTTTAATTCTCATGACAGCTATATGAAGTAGATACTATTTTTATGCCTGTTAGAAAAAAAAATTTTAACACAATAACTAAGTAAATGACACAAAGTCTATGTTAACCAGTTTGATGAAAATATTTCAAATTGTATATGAAAACACTACTGTACCCCATGTTTGCATTAATGTATGCAGCTATCATTTTATAAAAAAAAATCACATTATCAAAAATGATGTTACAAAAACAATTATTGTAATAGGAGAGAAAAAGCTTTTGTTGCTAGAGACTTTTCAACATACAATAGCAAAGCTGTTTTTCTTCCAAGAATTTCAGTAATAAAAACGTTTTTTACTAGGAAAAAAATAAAGAAAAATTTTTAAAATGGAAATACAGTCTTGTAAGTTCAGGTTCTCTTAAAGTCATGTATAGCTTTGTAACTTTTTTTAATGGGTAGGAAGGTACTCAGAACATTTACTCTGTGAAAGTATGGTTGTGTTGAGCAAAGGAATTTAATATTTTCTCTCCTGGATTTTGATGTTTCATTTGCTTTCCTGCTTCCCATTTCCTTATAGTTACTGGAGTTTTCTGTAAAGATGAATGGAGTTCTAACAGTGGGAATGTAGATTAAAAGGTTAACCTGAAGTACTCTGTCAGGTGTTATTATTTCCCCTTTTTGGACAATAGCAGCAGTATACTTTGATTTGACTTCTAAATTCTAAGACTATTGTGATGTAAGCTTTGTGGAAGCAAATACCTACTGGCCAAGATGAAGAAGTTTAGTTAGACTATAATATTCAGTATGGACATTTTATACATTAACTATATGACACAGCCACGAAAATGTTTCAAGGTGAGTTACTTAAAGTCCTGAGCTAGAAGAATGATAAATTATAGAGATGACGTCTTAGTTTTCTTGTGAAGGAATACATGAGACTGGGTAATCTATGAAGAGTTTCATCTGGTTCACAGTTTTGTGGGCTGTGTGAGCAGCATGGCCTCTGCATTTGTTTCTGGAACTTCCAGTCAAGATGGAAGGGGGTGGGGGGATTCATGTCACATGGCGAGAGAAGAGGGGCTACCCTTTTCTTTTCAACAACTAGGTGAACTACCAAAATGGAAATTCACTTACTACTGCAGGGAGGGCATAAAGCCATTCACTGGGGATCTGTCCCCATAACCCAGACACCTCCCTCTTGGCCCCACCTCCAACACTGGAGATCAGATTTCAACATGAGATTTGGAGAAGACAAATATTCAAACCATGCCAGAATAGAAAAAAAGATCTTAGTGGAAATTACAGGAGTTAAAAGGGAATAAAAGGATGGTGAGTGGCTTGTTTCCATAGCTTAGGAAATTCAAAGAATGTGACTTAAAAAGCAGAAAATGTCAGCATAAGCTAACCCAGTTTTCAAAATTATGAAATACTGAAAAGGCTTTGGAGAGAAGATAAAAACACTCAAGAGAAAATAGTATTGACCAGGCCTCAATTTTCTCTGCATAAAAATCTGGAATCCTTTGGACCCATTTGCATTGTTAAAGTCCTTCTATGTGATAGCCCTTGAAACAGATGAACTTTTTGAGTTTAATTAGTAGCCTGTCAAAGTCCAGGGGGCTGAACCAGATAATCTCTCCTGGTCCGCTCAAACTAGGTAGTATTTATATATACATGTTTTTCCAAACGGTAATAACACCACCATCTTTTAGAAGAACAGTGAGGGGCTTATATTATTCCGTGCTTCTCACTGCAGTTACTAAAGTCACATGTAAAACCACATAGAGGCATTGAAATTTATGTGTAATATATAGAAATTGGTGAGCAAGGAGAAATTTAATTGTAGGCTACTCCTTTGAGATATGATAAATCATCTTCAGGCAGTGTTTTGGGCCTTCCCACACAGGATTACAAGGGAGCAAATTACTAAGTTTTAATATTTCAGATGTTTTACATACACACTTAATGACAGGTAAACATTAAATTATAAAAGTTAATCTCTGTCTTGTATTCTTCAGATATCCTTTGTAATTCTGTGTCTGTGGGTTTGTTTTTGTTTTTCTCTCCCTAGGATGGAGCTATGACATTGAAGAGAAGAAGGTTCCAAAACCCAAGTCCAAGTCTTATGGTGCAAACTTTTCTTGGAACAAAAGAACAAGAGTATCCACCAAATAGGTTGGCACTGACTGTATCTCTGTACTTGACTGTGAATAAAGTCAGCTGTGCAGTATTTATAGTCCATGTATAATACATTTCTTAATCTCCTAATAAATTTGACCTTTAAGCTACAAACATATTTTGCGCTATCTATTTTGAATGTTTTTTGATGTCTCTCATTAAATATGTTAAAAATTTTTTATAGAGAAGAGATTTGAGGTGATCATACCCCTGGAAAATCTTGATACTTAGACCCTATTAAAAGGAATGCTCGAAATTGTCTGCAACATTGACGTTTTACAGTTGCTTTTTATAGCCATTTTCCAAGTTAACAGTATTTATAAACCATCAGTTATCATTGTGCAAACACTGTCTTAGACATTCTTAGGTTTTATCATAGGTAAAGAAGTATATAAAACCCAAATAACTTCATTATTGAAGTTCTCTTTTTTTAACTAGAACTTTATATACACAAAGCTTCTTTGAGCCTCAGTGAATTGTGTTTCCTACTAATCTCTGCCCAGAAATCAACATTTAATGGATTCAGGTGAAGATTTTATATTCTTAGGAGCTGAAAGACTCAGAGAAAATAAAAATAAGTTCATTGCTGGGGATTTTTAGTGTCTACTATTTTTTAGAAATAAAAGTAGATACAAGCTTTTGTTGTTAATTATTTACGTCTTACATCACAAGTTGTCTTATTAGGCTATTCAGTAAACACTTTGTATATTAACCCTCATAATAGCTATTAGTATAATATCCCCATTTTGCAAAGAAGATGTAAATCAAGGCTTAAAAGGATTAAATAATCTGCTTAATATCACACAGTTCCTGAGTGCCAAAGGTGTAAACTGAGCCAGTATCTGTCCTCAGAGCCGTACTCCTGACTGATTTTAGTTATTAAAAAAAATAGGATTAATGCCAAATGATTTCTCGTTTGATATACTAAATATGTTTTCTCACAACTGCATTTCATAAAAACACTAATAGCACATTGATGCAGCTTGACAAAACACATCATCATATAAATTTGTTCACTCTTGTTTTAAAGAGCTTATTCACAATGTTTTTCAATGTGTAACTTCATATTCCATTTAATTTGAAAAATCCACTTCTAGGCATATAGCCTATGTACAGAAGTACATGTACAGAAGTAAATGTACAAGGATATTTATTAGAGAATTGTTTCCAGTGGCTAATAAGTTGAAACAATCTAAATATCTACTAAGAAGAAAGAATAGAGTTAAAGGGAATATGGTGCAGTTTTTAAAAACAACAAGAAATATCTGTATAAGCTTTTTGGGATGATGTTCAAGTGAAAAAACAAGAATAATAGATAATATGAGGTGAGAAGAGGTGGCAGATGCTTACATGTATGTACCAGGAATATTTTAGAAAAAATAGATAAGAAATTCTTAATGATGATTTTAGTAGATACCATGAATTGGTTGTGAGAAAGGGGGAAATCTTTCACACTGTAACTTTTAATACACTGATTACTGTAGAGATGTATTATTTGTATAGTTATATGTCTATCTGTATATACACATATACACATATATAATACACACACCCCAAATTACATATGAAGAAGGCCCACTACATTTTATATGTTGGCCCTTTTAGGTTTAGTTGAAAAAAGTATATATTTTAGTATTTTAGAATTAGAAATATTAAATAAAAGGTAAACTTTGAGAAACGATAAAATATACCCATTAAAAATTCCTACTTTTGAAAAATTCACAATTTGGAAAATTTATGGAAATTAAACAACATGCTCCTGAACAACCATATAAAAATTAAAAAAAAAAAAAAAGACAAATGCCTACATCAAAAAAAGAAAAATCTCAACAAAATTTAAGACACCTCAAAGATTTTTATAAAAAGAACCAAGCTCAAAGTTAAAAGGAGGAAGAAAAAAAGACCAGAAAAGGAATAAATGAAGTAGAGATTCAAAAAACAAAGAAAAAATAATGAAACTAAGAGTTGGAGTTGTGAAAAGACAGAATTGACAAACCTGTAGTAGCTAGACTAAGAAAAAGAGGCTAATTATATAACTGAAAAGGGATCTATATAACTGATAACACAAAAATACAAAGGATCGGCTTGGCACCTATAGTTCAACAGGCTAAGGCGCCAGCCACGTACACCTAAGGTGGCGGGTTCAAATCCCCAGCCCGGACCCGCCAAAAACAACAATGACGGCTGCAACCAAAAAATAGCTGGGCGTTGTGGCGGGCGCCTGTGGTCCCAGCTACTTGGGAGGCGGAGGCAGGAGACTCGCTTGAGCCCAGGAGTTGGAGGTTGCTGTGAGCTGTAATGCCACGGTACTCTACCCAGGGGGATAGCTTGAGGCTCTGTTTCAAAAAAAAAAAAAAATACAAAGGATCATAGAAACTATGAATAATTATAGTGCAACAAATTGAATAACATGGAAGAAATATTTCTAGACACATACAACCTATCAAGATCGAGTCATAAAGAAATAGAAAATCTGAGCAAATCAAGAGAATAAGCAGATTGAATCAGTTAAAAAGTCTCCCATCAAAGAATCCTAGTACCTGATTGATGGCTTCACTACTGAGTTCTATGAAACATTTAAAGAATACAACCTCTCATACTCTTCCAAAAAATTAAAAGAGGGAATACATCCCAGTTCATGTTAGAAAGTTAGCATTACCCTGATACCAAAGCCAGACCAAAGACTCTACGAAAAAGTTACAGGCTAAGACGTCTGATGAATGTAAGTGAATATCCTCAGTAAAATCTTAATTCAAAATCACCTTAAAAAAATGATCAACTCTGATCAGGTGGGATTTATCCCTGGGATGCAAGGATAGTTCAATGTATGCAAATCTATAAGTGTGAAACACCACATTTATAAATAGCTTACACACTGCAGAATGAAGAACCAAAACCATAAGATCAGCTCCACAGATGCAGAAAAAATGTGACAAAATTTAACATCTGTTAAAAGATGAAAATTCTAAACAATTTACATACAGAACAATACACCTCAACATAATAAAGGCCATATATAAGCCCACAGCTAAAAACATCGTACTTAGTAGGGAAAAATCAAAACCTCTGACCAGGACTAAGACAAGGATGCCAACCCTCACCACTTCTATCAGCATAATACTAGAAATTCCAACCAGAGCAGTAAGGGAAGAGAAAAAAATTAAAAGGTCCAAATTGGAAAGGATTTTGGAAAGGAATTGGAAATTGCTACTGTGGGGGTGGGGAGGACAATTGGAATTGTCCACTGTGGTGGGGGGGGGGATAGTAAAATAATAGCAAATCAGAGGTATAGCCCTTAGGGTTATAGCCTATTACTCATAGGCTACAAACCTGTATAGCACATATACTGTTGGCACTTAGAACAGTGGTAAGTATTTATGTATTTAGTTTCTACATATGGAAAAAGTACAGTAAAAAATTGTGTAAAAGATAAAAGATGGCTCCTCTGTCTAGAGCACTTACCATGAATGAAGCTTTCAGGACTGGAAGCTGCTGAGTGAGTGTAAACCCTAGGATATTATTTACCCTGCTATCGACTTCACAAACACTGTACACCTAGACTACACTACACCACATTTACAAAAAGATTTTTCTTCAATAATTATACTTAGATTACTTTTTTACTTTATAAACTTTAACTCTTTCATAACACTTAGCTTAAAACACAAATGTATTGCACAAGGGTACAAAAAATATTTTCTTGGCTGGGTGCCTGTAGCTCAATGGTTAGAGCTCTGGCCCTGTGCGCCAGGGCTGGCAGACTCAAACCTGGCCTGAGCCTGCTAAACAAACAAAACTTTTTCTTTATGTCATTCATAAGCTGCTTTATTTCTAAATTTTTTCCATTTTAAAGGGTTTTGTTGTTAAAATTGAAGACATGATTACACATATTAGCCCAGGTTTGTTCAGGGTCAGGGTAATATTACTGTCTACTTCCACGTCTTATCTCAGTGGAAGGTCTTCAGGGGCAATAGGACTCATGGAACTGTCATCTCTTATAACGCCTTCTCCTGAAATACCTCCTGAAGGAACTGCCTAAGGCTGTTTTACAATTAACTTCAAATATACATGAAGTGAGGCACGGTGGCTCACACCTGTAATCCTAGCATTCTGGGAGGCCAAGGTCAGTAGATGGCTTGAGCTTAGGAGTGGGAGACCAGCCTGAGCAAAGCAAGACCCCACCTCCACTAAAAGTAAAAAAAAAAAACGCCAGATGTTATGGTAAGCGCTTGTAGTTCCCCCATTACTTGGGAGTCTGAGGCAAGGGGATTGCTTAAGTCCAAGAGTTTGAGGTTGATGTGAGCTAAGACACCATGGCACTCTACCTGGTGCAACAGAGAAAGATACCATCTCAAAAATTAAAAATATAATATATATGAGGTCTGGCAATTAAGTTGGCAAACTCATCCTAAAAAAATAATGCTATATACCTCATTGCTGAAAACATCACTATGTCACCTTTGAAGTACTCTCCTTAGGAAGCTATGCACCAACACCAGTGTCCAGTCACCCTTCAGAGCAATTTTGAACTCTTTCTGGAATGGCCATCAGAGCCTTTTTATAAAAGCCTTGATGTCCTGAATGTCATCAAAATGTTTTCCTTTCAATATTTCCTTTATCTTCAGGTAGAGAACAAAAGTAATTTGGGGCCTGATCTGGTGAGCAGGGAGGGTGTTCCAATACAGTTACTTGTTTACTGGTTAAAAGCTCCCTCACTATGCTGTGTGAGCTGGTGCATTGTCGTGATGCAAGAGCCCATTTTTGTGCATGCTTTTCTCATGCCAAGATTTTTTTTATTTTCAGATTAATATGAGGGCATGAATGTTTAGGTTACAGTGTTTTCAATTCTAAGGTGAAGTTAGAGTAGAGCCCTTCACCCAGGGGGTGTACTGAACACCCTCACATTGTGCACACTAGGTAAGACCCTACCAGTTCCTCCTCACTCTCCCTCCCCCATGGTGGATTGTACTTGTGTTTGTCTTCTAGGTGAGCATGTGGTTATTTATATATTGTTTCATATTATATTGGGTACATTCAGGCCAAGATTTTCAGTTAAGATTTTCCTGTTTTTCTTTTGATGTTTACTTGCTCTGCTATGCTTCTCACAGTCAGCT